TGCATGTAGTAAAATACGGTTATTTCAATATTACAAACAGACACTCCAATTTTATTTATATGTATAGATGTGTAGATTATTATTTATTTATTTATTTATTCATCCAAAATAATACAAATTGTGTAGGATAACGTAATAGTAACATTATAGTAAAATTTTGTCAACAACATAATAGCAACTTAAATATTAAATCTCGGTATATCTATAGACAAGCTGGCCCCAGCGACTTCGTCCGCGTGAAATTTTATTTTATTTTTCTAAAATAACAGTAGCGTAAGTTACCCCTTATTACATCAGCTACTTGCCAAAAAAAGTCCCGTCAAAATCGGTCCAGCTATTTCAGAGATTAGCCGGAACAAACAGACAGACAGACAGACAAAACTTGTAAAATATGTTATTTTGGTGTATACCGTATTTATATTCATATGCAAGTAGTAAAAACGGTTATTTCAATATTGCAAACAGACACTCCAATTTTATTTACATGTATAGATGTATAGATTAAAAAAAAAGTAACAGTCATAAGGCTAGTCGTATGCCTAATATATATAATAATGTAATACTCCGAGTTCGAATCCTACACTTTTTTTTTATTATTTATTTTTTTGGTTTTTTTTTTATTTTGTATTTTAATAATTAATTTATGATTATATACGATTATGAATTTATAATAAAAACGTAGTTAAGTATTAAATTAATTTTACTAGTTAGGAGTGTACCTGTGTACCAACTTACCACACAGACACCCCGGGTTCGATTCCCACCATTGACTATTGTTATTTACTTCTTTTTGTTTTTTTTTAATTTAATATTTTAATAATTACATTAATTTATACGAGAAAAACGTAGTTAAGTATTAAATTAATTTTACTAGTTAGGAGTGTATCTGTGTACCAATTTACCACACAGACACCCCGGGTTCGATTCCCACCATTGACTATTGTTATTTACTTCTTTTTGTTTTTTTTTTAATTTAATATTTTAATAATTACATTAATTTATACGAGAAAAACGTAGTTAAGTATTAAATTAATTTTACTAGTTAGGAGTGTACCTGTGTACCAACTTACCACACAGACACCCCGGGTTCGATTCCCACCATTGACTTTTTTTTTGTTTTTTTTTAAAGTAATATTTAAAATTAACTATTTTAATAATTAAATGAATTTAATCGATAAAAACGTTGTTTAATATTAAATAAATTTTAAGTGACATTAACTATTATAGCATGCACAAAAAATATTTTGTAATAATAAAGAAAATACATTTGAAATGTTGTTGTGTTAATTATTTATAAGATCTTACTATAATTGTTAGCTGCTTTACAATTCAGAAAGTATAATAGTTAATGTAAATTAAAATTAATTTAATACTTGACAACTTTTTGTTCGATTAAATTCATTTAATTATTAAAATAGTTAATTTAAAATATAACATAAAGTCAAAACAAAAAAAATTCTATGGCGGGAATCGAACCTTGAGCGTCCGTTTGGTAAGTTGATTTGAAATTTAAAGGCTTATTTCTTCGAAATTACTGGTCATTTTGTAATAATACTTAGGGTTCGCATACCCTTATCGGATACTACTACTACACGGAGTTTCGTCAAAACAAAATATCTAGGTTAGGTATAATAAATTCATAATTAATAGACCGTTACGGTATCTGTATATATTCGGATCAAAACAAGTACTATGAAATAAGAAGGAGTATATAAATTGATTAACACAAGTAATTGATTTTTGAAATATATTCAGAGCCAAAAAGTCTTCTTTCTTTATTTATGTACTTGTTAGATGCGACAGCGACTTTGTTTTATACTATACTATACTATGTAATGATTGATATACCTAAAATAAATAAAATATCTGAGGTTTGGACAAAAACTCAAAGGGTAATTTATTTTGAAAAAGTATTTTGAAAATACCTATTTTGCTTTTAGGGTTATAGTACTTTAACTGTTATGTTTTAAGTAACAATGTTTAATTATAATTAATACTACTGCACCAACACTCCGATCGTGCAAAAAAATTTGCTGTTTCATTATTTTTTAGTTCAATTAGTGGTCTACCTAAGTCCTGGGCTAAGGGGGGGGAGAGTCATGACGCCCCCATGACTCCCATGACCTCCATGACGCGCCCCCCTGGATCCGCCGTTGCGTCTTCTCTTTATTCGCTCAGTAACGTTGTTACAAAAGAAAAGATTCCCGTCCAAAAAATAACAAGTATTGAGGTTTGATCTGGAGTCACGTTACTCCAGACAGATTTCTATAAATATTTAGATTAGATAGACTATTATTCTTGAAATACTAGCTAGACATTATTAAGTTACTGTAGCCATAATGTAGTAGCCCAAACGTGCCAATGAGGAAGCCCTTGGCAAATGCTGCACCCTGATTGGCCCGTTTGAATTGGATCAAGAACTGCTCGTATGCCAAAAAGGTGGATTTGTATAAAATCGTGTATAAGTCGCGTAATTATTATTATTACTCGTCGTGACAGTTGTGGCTCAAAAAGGATCAACATTTATATATCGTCAGCTGGCATTAGATCAACAAAAGGCCTCCGGATCAACAAGTGAAAAAGGATCAACAAAAAACTACCTATACGGCACGTCTGAGCCACAAAGTGCCCAAGGGGATATTTATATATATATATATATATATAAGGTAATGTCAAAGGCCATACCTTTTTAGTGACACTTGTAGTGTACAATACTGTACCATCACTAATTAATTACTGATCCTTATTACGTCATCACTAATTGCTATTCAATTTAATGGAGAATTATCCGTGCGGCGCTTAGGTTATTCTTCTATGCTTTCATCTCTCGCATTCCATATCATACGGATACATCAAGCAATAATAAAGCGATGAACGCACACAATTAGAGTTACACTACGCACGCTCAAACAACGTGCGCTGTTTAACTTTCATATTTAAAAGTATTGAAATTGAAATTTAGTTGGTATACCTGATCAGGCAACGACATTAAATTATATCATGTGATACATACTATGGAATATGCTATCCTGAACCACGTCTGTATATAAATATAACGTTATTATTTTATATAATAAATTCTTAATCTAATTTAATTTTATACGACATCAGACTGTGTGGGCGTCCATCTGCCACAACATTCTTTCATTTTCAAATTTGTATTTTTAGAACAGCTCTTATGTGAGATATTTTTTTATATAATTGATTGGGATCGAGCTATTGGGGAAATTGCTATACATACTAAATACATATACTAAAATATATATAAAATCTACGTGCTTTTATCAGTTTGAGACTCTTATAGTCCACCGGTACATTACAGATTGTATCTGATTATAATTATATTATCATTTGATTATATTTATTTAAATAATAATCATTATGTATATAAATAAGACCTAATAAATACATTATGCAAAATTATGATCATAATCTTAGATCTTTAGCGCAATTGGTTTGCTTTTCATAGAGGAGCATACTATTGTATGATAGCTACATTGACGACAAAACTAAAGAAATGATTGAAAGTGATGAAAAGGAAGGTAATGTCACAAAAATATGAAACAAATGGCGGAAGTTAATTAGTAGATAATACAAGTAAAACAATAAATAGATACGTCAGACTAATTAGAGTCCTTGAGTTAAATATAGAAAATATGATTAATTTACTAATTCATTTAGGCAAATACTTACACGGTTACAATTTAAATTAAAAATGTTAAGAACTTTAATTGGATTTAAGTCATATAAAAATTGTGAATAATATATTTTTAAAAAATATTGCACTGTATTTTATAGAGAGTATATTAAATGCATATAACAGGCGCTAATAGTGCGCATGTGTGTAAACTTAAGCCTGTGTTGGAGCTGTAATAGAGCGATGACGTGATTTCCTGCGCTGAGTTATTGCTACTGTACCGGCGCTAAATGCTTCGTCCGATGTAACCTTGTACTGAGGTAGTAAATGATTTCTAAAGTTTTAGTTCACAAATTATTATATAATAGTACTATAAATAATACAATATTGAGTTACTATTTAAAAATTATAATTCTTTTATATCATTATAATATAATTCAAATTGCAATTAATCATTAAATATACTCAATGAAAATGAGACAATTCTATAATTTTATTTATATCATATAATTTATAAGAATCACATATTTTTATTACATAATTTTAAGTACCTATTGTGGAAGTTTGAATTAGAGTAATAAGTATTTATTAAAAACAGAATAAGTAGCTTAATCATGATTTATAACTTATCTTTTAGCGCAATTATAACGTTTTAAGATAATAAGTATTACAATGTTTCCTTTAATTTTTAATGTTGTTTTAGAATTTATTAAAGGACGATTTTAATTTATATTTTGAATAATTATTTATACATTACTTTGTTTAAGTATAAGGTAAAATAAACACCTACTTCTGCCGCAATGTTCCAAATATTTTGTTAATGATTTATTCATTCCAGTTTTAATGATTCTTGCAACAGTAACAAGTCATGACTATATATATTTTAAATTGGCAATAACAATTGCCAATAATTATCTGATAAAATTTTATCACCTTTATTTATTTGTTCTCGAAAATGGGCCCTCGTTGTATCAGTTTGAAAATTATATTATAGATAAGTGTTATAGTTTTATCTAAAGGTAATTCGAAATGATAATTGCTTTTTGATATTATCATCTATATGTACTTATTATTGATTTATATATTTATATGACTTGCAGTGACACATTAACGGATTAACATTGTTTTCGTGTGATCTGTTAGTATTACTTTTATTGTAATAATCTTAGTGGTTTTAAAGCTTTGTCTATCATAATATTACAAAAAAATCTAACGCAGTGTATGTGAAATTGGTAAACTTAATGTTTTATACCACGTCTTGCAAAAGTTACATCGTCTCTACCCGGTGAGGGGGTGGAGAAGGCAACAACTCATAAAATTAAGCGATTTGGATGTGAGTTAGTCTAACTGTGAGGATCGCCGCGTTAACAGCTCGCTAGCTGTCCTCGTCGCACATTGTCGCTTGCACCCACACAGCCGATTGCAAGGCGCCAGTACAACGTTACTCCTCACAGGCACGTTCCGTTTCTCGCAATCGCTGTTTTATCGAAACGTTCGACTATTCGCGCCATAATGCGTTGACAGTTCGGAAGTGCGATTTATTTCAAAATTAGAATTTGAGTTTTTAATTTTTTAATCTGTTCTTTTTGTAGTGACTTTAATTTTTCGATTGAATGAACGATTTAGTGATGTGATTACTCACTAAACGGATATCGGACTTGTTATTCAGGTGAGTGAAAAGCAAAAATAATTTGAGTTGTTAATTAAGTTTAATGAATGAGTAACGTTTTATTGGAGCGTCTAGAGATTAGATCAAGTGATTATGCAAAACCAGTAGGCATTTGTGTAATATCACCGACTAATAAAGTTGATCAATTTTTAAGCGCTCTAATTAATCGCTCGTTTAAATTTTTGTATGGTCATTCGAATTAGTTATAATTATACTTTTAAATTGTTACTACAATGTCGTTAAACAAGCACACACCTTGTCTGATAATTATTGACATCCTAATTGTAATAGAAAGTTTATTTGTTACTAATAACATAATACTAATATCTAACAATATAGGTATGAAATTATATGTAAAGTTTTGTTTATTTCGACAAAGCTGGTGTAAGTGGTATTAGTAGCAGTTTGATATAAAAAGGGTAATAGATACTTTTCTATAAAAAATGATCAAAATCTATTCTTATTTGGCATGTATGATTGAATTTTTAGAAATATCATAATTTATTTGTTTTATTGAGCATCAAATTATTGTTCTAATTATGGATTTAATGCTATAATAACATTATTTACTACTCAACCTTAGCGAAGTGCAAAGATACACTTTTGCGGCTAAGTTTTAATGTGTAGTTTTTAATAATGATAATAACAAGAATAATTATTTCTTCATTCTGTCTCTGTATAACTGATTAAGCAAATAATCTGTACCAATATCAAGTTAGATGTAACCGTGCTTCAAAAGCTGTTTAATACTTGTAATTAAAAAAAAATCAACGTCTTCCCTTGATTGCATATCACATATTGCCGCATTGCATATCATCAGCCGCCAGCTCGATTATATTTTAGCGTTCATTTTGACTCTTGTATCTTTTGTTCGGCTGCAAAAAGTCAAGGGAGATGCTGGCTGATTCTTACAATTAGCCGGTATGCACAGAAAATTTCACAAACATCGCGACACGAGAATTTTATATATTTAGTCTAGTACAATTAGGCATTATAAATGAAAAATGTCAGAAGCCAGTATTAGTTTTTTGTATTAGATTTCTAATCAGTTATAGAAAAAGTCTACCCATTAAAAATGACGCAATTTAAAAACAAAACGCAAAAATTAAAAAATCTGAAGTAGAAAAGTGTTTACCGCATTATTACACATATATATATAATTTAAAAATATCACAAATTTAAAAAAAATAATTATGAAATTTTCAACAAAAAGTACAATGATCAATAAAATGTACAAATGAATATGATACCTAGAACAACAATTACAAAAGTGTCTGATTTTAAACGCGATTTCACTAATAATATAGATAATGGTATATAGGTATCTAATTACGTGTAATTACTTCGGATAATGTAATATTGAATTGATTGCCGTAGCTTGATTATTAGATATTGCGCTGAAATAGATTGATAATGCTATTTATGTTTATTAGATCCTGTACAGTAACTGTATTATATTCATTACTAGCTGTACCTGCGACTTCGTCCGCGTGGAAATTAACTTTATTTTTCTAAAATAAAAGTAGCCTAAGTGCCTAGTTATTACATCAGCTACCTGCCAAAAACAGTTCCGTCAAAATCAGTCCAGCCATTTCAGAAATTAACCGGAACAGACAGACATACAGACAAAAATTGAAAAAAATGTTATTTTCGTGTATTCATATGTATATAGTAAAAAACGGTTATTTCAATATTACAAACAGACATTCCAATTTTATTTATATGTATGGATTCTAAAAACCTCGAAATATTATCGACGGCCTCGGTGGAATAGCGTTTTAGAACACCGCTTTACTTCCGACGGTCGAGGGTTCGATTTCTCAAGATACTAACATTTCTAATTTGTATATTTGAGTATGATTGTTTGTCAGTCTGGTTTTTAGTGTGTTCCGTGTTTTCTATGTATACTATGAATGTATTTATAAAAAAATATCTATTTATATCAGCTGTCTAGTACCTATAACACAAGCCCTGCTTAGTTTGGGGCTGGATGGAGCTTTGAGAGTTGTTCTTAAGATATTCTTATTATTATATTCAACATATGTAGATATTTCTTTATTTATTGGTACACAAAATGATTACAAATGATTTCTTTACATGTAATCTGTATATGAACCCGCCTGCGCTCTTTACCAGTGGAGGATGTAAGATGAACATGAGGTACAAAACAAATTGGACGGAATTTATCACGAAACTGGACATATAACAGTTATTTTATAGATATCATTAGGAAGAAGTGGGGATGCTTTGTAATAGGGACTAAATGACGCTCACCGTATTATCCAGGGTTATTGTAATATGTTATACTATCTGACCCGCGCAACTTCATCTTCATTACTTGACATTTACCATTATATTTCGCCTAATTTACATAAATTATTGCCTATGTGTTTTTCTAATGTATAAGCTATATTACTGTAAAGTTTCATAAAAATCCGTTCAGTAGTTTTTGCGTGAAAGAGTAACGTCCGTCCATACTCATAAACTTTCGCGTTTGTAATATTAAGTAAGATAATAACTATAGATTTTTGCATAGAATTTTGCCTCAAAGGCTCTGCAGCACTCTATAATATGTATGATTTTGTGGACAAAAATAAATATATTATTATTATTATTATTATAGATAATTCGCATTATATTGCACGGTTGTGTACATTTTGGCCTATGCATTTTGATTTGGTTATTATTAGTAATAAACTATGTTACCATGTTAGGTCGACATCCACGCAATCCTCTCGGAATCCATTGTTTTTAATTCTTGGTAATTCTGCTACCATGGACCAACTGGCCTGACATACTCATACTGTCAACCTCCACTGAAGTCAACACATTCCGTTATCACAGGCACATGCACCATTCCATTATCACCCATTAAAAACAGTAGTTGATCTATTTTGTGGTTATACCTTAATGTTACGATAACTTGTCAAACCGGTAGAATTAACGTCCGTATGCATGCTAAATAAGGCGACCATAATATTTAATTATGAAAATTTGATTGTCGATTTCCTTAGCCTAATTTTTATGGACGGCGCGTCGAATAAAACTTAACTAATCCTGTAGGTAATCATTTAAATATGGCTGTATGGGCTGAGTTCTTTTGCAATTCCCTGAAACGGAAAAAACCGAACCAAATAAAATCATACCATTCCATTACATGGTTCCTAAATTGTCAAATGTTTTATACTTATTTACATTTGGCCTTGCGACTAATATTTATACTAAGCTATTTTCAATCAATAATTTGAATATGGAATTCCTAAACTTTTAAAAATAGAATGTCTATCTATATTCCATTTTTAAAATTGTCGGTAAGTAACGTGTCATTGTGTAGGTAGTTAGTATTTGACCTGAATTAACCCAATAAATGTTGCAAGCGAAGATTCATACAATATTGAATATTATAAGCAGTAATCAATAACTATCCAATGACCCTTGAACAATACAATAGGGGGAAGGGGATTGTCAGTAATGTGGATTAATAACCCCATTTCTAGTTGATCTCTACCTGAAAATTATCATGTTAAATGGCTGGTGAATTTGCCACGATGAGCTAACTGACCTGACTACATACTCAACTTATCATTATTTTATCAACAATAAAAAAAATATCATACAATATATCACAGATATGTAGCGTTAAAGTACAATCTACTCGCTTACTAATTAGTAAAGTAGAATATAGCTGTAAGTTACAGTGTCCATTTTATTAAACTGAATCTGATTTTGAAAAATATTAATTTATATACATTTTATCTCATAAATATTCTAAACATTAATCATAATAGACTCATCCTGGAAGTAGAAAATTAACGGAATTGCCATTACAACCAATTTGGCCTACAGATTATGACATTAATCGATAACGATGTGAGCAGAGGACCGTCCACGTACAAAGTCGCGGAAGTTCCGACAGCAGCGTGTGTGGGCCCTTTGATTTCACCGAGCACTCGCCAACTAGTTCTATTAATCGATATCAATCCGATTCTAAGCCTTATTCCCATCTCTACAAGAATTAAAAACAAAATCATTTGAAAATGGAATGGTAATTTTTAATAGACGACGTAGGAAATGGCTTGTAGTTTGTCGCGAATCAAATATGGCCGTTTCAGATTTGACAGACCGATTTTTTAAATTAATGTTGGTGTTAATAGGCACGCTTCCTTAATTAATTTTGTTTTGATCTTTGTATTTTTAATTTTTTTATGATGACAGTGTATTATAGCGTCTTTGAGGAAGAATAATTATTCAGTTAACCTGTACTACTTTAATGTCGACCCCTGAGGAAAAGGCAAAGGAAATAAGTCTACACGGCCATGTCGTTATTCCTTTTGTTTCGCAAAAATACTATTGTTTCCTTTTCTTTTGTAACATTTTTGGTGTACAGCCAACATCTAGTTAGCTATATTTGACTTTCTATAAGAATGTTAAGGGAATATTCGCTATTAGGACAGAAACTGTTTATGAAATAATCCATCTTTTTACCTTTAAATAAATAACAAGTAATATATTTATTGATATATTACTTTACTTGTTGTACAGACATAATTATTGTAGATATAGATAGTCTAGCGATTATTACGACTGTAAAAATAAATTCTATTTTATGAGTTTAGTATCTTTTAGATCATTCCTCATGGGTAGGTAGGTAGAGTAGGTATATCTAATAATACACAGATGTTTAAAACCGTCGGTAATTTTATTTAATACAAATATGTTAGTTGTATTAATAAATTGTTGGCCGATGGTTTTATTAATTATTAAGTGGCAAATTATATAAGGTGAGATTAGAATTTTCAAGACTTGAACTAAATATATAACTGTGGAGTGTTAATTCATGTTTTTTTAAAATATATTTTAGCTTTAATATTTACATTATGTATATTATCTTATCTATTATTTACATATATGCCCTTTTCAACTGTAAGTACCTTTCGCTGTATCAAAAAATTCGTATCAGATATCTAAGAATTTATAAATCCATATATATAGAATAAAAT